TTTTGTAGAACCAGGGATTGAACTCAGGCCCTTGCACTTGCCAGGGAAGAGCTTATTCCACTGAGCCATCTCTCTGGCCCCTTCTTTCACTATTTCTTGACTCCATCAACTTAGTTTAGGGGGCCAGGGAGATGGCTCAGTAGAATAAGCACTTCCCTGGCAAGTGCAAGGGCCTGAGTTCAAACCCCAGTTTCCATCAAAAAAAAAACAAAAAACCAACTTAGTTTAGGCAAAGCTGATAAACTTTCTGCAGTGTTAATGTAAGTTTTTTTTCCCAGTGCAAGTTATTTTTAAAAATATGTGTTTGATCTCATTACCCTGGCATTTCAAAGCCGTTCATTACCTAACTTCATTTCTGTAGTAATGGTCCAAGTGCCTTTTCTGGCATGCAAGACAGACTTAAAATCTTACATCTAAATCAAATCTGTATATACATACATTTCTTTTCTGGGTGGGGGGCTCAATCCTGGGAGCGAGGCTGGCATGGCATGTGGTGCCAGAGATCAAACTGTAGTCCCTGGGCTTGCCTAAGCATGCCTGAGCAGGTGCTTTAGACTGCTGAGCTATCTCGCTAGCCCATATACATAAATTTCTATTGTAAACTGTCTATTCGGGGCAGGGGGGCATGGAGTTAGCTCAGTAGAATAAGTGCTTGCCTGGCAAGTGTAGGGTCCTGAGTTCAATTCCCCAGTACCGGAAAAAAGAAAAAAAAAAATTGTCCATTGGAAAATAGATACACTAATCCCACTGCTTTTCCACTAATGGTTTATTCCTCCCATAACCACCGGTATCTGACACTTGAAAGGCACTCATGAAATAGATAAATTATGTTCATAAATGTTGATACTCACCCAATGGAAATGTATTTCCCCCTTGTCATATTTGTTCACTTTCTTTTTTTTTTTTTTTTTTTTGAGCCGGGGATTGAGATACTTTATTAACTGACCAAATCATAAAAACACTATGGTAGATACCTTAGTTCAGCCTTCTAATAAGCCTGGTGATCTGGTCTTCCCTATTTT